TGACTCCTAAGGAACAAAGCAGAGGCAGGAAGACCAAAAAGAGTAAACGAAATAGATCGCCATCGTCCAGTTCCTCCTCAGATGATACCATGTCAAAATGGACTCGTACATCAAGGAGCAGATCCAGAAGCAAAAGTCCACAAGTTCAAAAGATGCCCGTATTTAAAGGCACTGAAAGCCCAAATTGGGAATCCTTTATTTACCAATTTGAAAGGGTTGCAGCTCATCGTGGATGGTCCTCCCATAAGAAGGCTTTCCGTCTTCTAGATTGTTTAGGGGATGTGGCTCTGGAATATGCCAGGAAAGTGAACAAGAATGGTGACTATAAAGAGCTGAAACGGCAATTAAAACAGAGATTCAGCAGAAAGGAAGTACCTATTCTAGCTCGTCGCCAGCTCCCCTTTACTAGGCAACTGGAAAATGAAAATGTGGAAGAATTTTCTCAGCGTGTCTACTTCCTAGCATTAGATGGTTATGAGAGCTGTGAAGGGAACATGATTGAGGAAATAGCGATAGAAACCTTCCTACGTGGCTGTCGAGATAAAGAAGCTGCTATGAAAGCAATGGATAGGGAACCAACAACACTCCAGAAAGCAGTAAAGTATGTGAAAACAGCCATTGCGAACCATCGTGCTTTATATGGGACCAGAGGAAGTACCAGAGTAGCCTCCTATTCTCAACGACAAGTTTCATTCTCAAGCAGGGAGGGATCCCCAGCAAGTGAACCTTCTCCTCGTAGGGCTGATACTAAGCTCTCTAAAGAAGACAACAACAATTCTCTGGATAAGCAAATCTCACACCTGACAACTTAGTTGAAAAATTAACCACAACAGTTCAACAATCCTTTGGCAGAAATCGGAGTAAGTCACCACTATCAAAAGGGCGTTTCCTAGAGAGATCTAGAAGTCCTAGCCAATCACCAGCCAGGGGCAATCACTTCTCGTCTCCAAATAACAGAGCCAACAATACATCAGATGAAGCGAGAAGCCCAATGAAGGGCGATTTAAACAGAAAAGGGTCAAGCCAGTAGGCCCACACTTGACCCCTGACAAGAGTGGCCTAGGAGACAACGTTGTTACTATTCGAAGGACTTTAGGAAAAAGCATCAAACTCAATGTCACCATAGGGGAAAAGCCTATTGATGCAATTGTTGACACAGCTGCAATGATAACCCTTGTCAATGATAAAATAGTGCCAGACAGCCAGATAGCTACATCTGAGTTCATAAAGCTTAAGGGGCTAGGTGCCGAAATAGTGCATGGTAGATTGCTCAAGAACGTTTCTCTCAATATTGGTGATCTTCATGTAACTTGGGACTGCTGTGCGGTATCAATGGATGATGACATGATCCTGGGACTAGACTTTCTGGAAGCCAACCACGGGATCATCAACATCAAAAAGGGAGTGCTGTTTCTCGAGGGCAGGAAATTTCCTATAAAGTTGATATCCGACCCACCTGAAGGGCACAAAAGCTCTCACGTCCGGATACGGAGGACAGCATGTGTACCGCCTAACACTATTGCCAAAGTATCAGTTCAACTAGATAAACCATTATCAAGTGACTATGTTGTTTCCCCTTTACATCTAAAATGTAATGTTCTTGGATCTCATACCCTTGGAAGCGGCTCTACCACAACTATGAGCTTCATTAATGACTCAAATACATCAGTCAAGATCAAAGAGGGTACTGTGGTTGGGGAAGCTGAGGCTTATGCTGAAATATGCTCAAATGAGAGTGATGCTCTTCTCATTAGGAAAAATCAGAAATATGAATCTGATGATAAGTTACCAGAACATCTGACAGATCTGTACGATAGATCAACTTCTGGACTTAGCGACAAGGAGAAGCATCATGTCGAACAGCTGCTAGTGGATTACCAGGACATATTTTCAAAGCATGATTTGGATTTGGGCTGTCTAACTTCAGTTACGCACAGAATAGACACCAAAGATAATCCACCTGTCAAGCATAAGATGAGGAGAACACCACTTGGTTTCCAGGATCAAGAAAAGGCACAACTAGACAAAATGCTAGATGCTGGTGTCATACAACCTTCCAGCTCGAATTGGGCGTCGGCACCAGTGCTCGTGAGAAAGAAAGATGGGTCCATGAGGTGGTGTGTAGACTACCGGGCACTTAATGAAAAAACAGTGAAAGATTGCTATCCACTGCCAATTATTGAGGACTGCTTAGACACACTTCAAGGAACTGAATATTTTGCTACCCTTGATATGGCCTCTGGTTACTACCAAATAATGATAGATGAGGAGGATAGGCACAAGACTGCTTTTATTACTCGTTATGGACTCTTTGAACACACCCGTATGGGGATGGGGCTATGCAATGCTCCTGCCACCTTCCAGAGGGCAATGCAACTAGTGCTTCGGGGTTTAACATGGACTCAAGTCTTGGTCTACCTAGATGATGTAGTAGTACTAGGTCGCAACTTTGAGGACAGTCTTCAAAATCTCAGGAAAGCCTTTGACAGATTCAGGCAATACAATTTGAAGCTTAAGCCTAGAAAGTGTGTACTGTTTAAGAAGGAAGTAGAATTTCTGGGGAAAGTAGTCAGTAGTAAAGGCGTATCAATCGCGCCGTCGAAAACAGAAGCTGTTAGGAACTGGCCCACACCCACTAGTACCACTGAGTTGCTCTCTTTCTTGGGATTTCTAAATTACCATAGAGATCACATCCAGCACTACTCTGATATCTGTGCAATCCTGTATGACTTGGCAAATACGAAGGAAAGATGGACCTGGGACACTGTGCACCAAGAAGCATTTGAGAAGGCTAAGATGGCTCTATGTTCAGCACCTTGTTTGTCGTACCCTGACCCTGAAGGACTCTTCATCTTGGACACAGATGCCTCCGATAAGACCATTGGTGCCGTCCTATCACAGGTACAGGAGGGCAAAGAAAAAGTAATTTGTTATGCAAGCCATGTACTCCTAAAGCCTCAACGCAAGTACTGCACAACTAGAAAAGAACTTTTGGCTGTAGTGAAGTTCTGCAGGCACTTTAGACACTACCTACTAGGGCGTCGGTTTCTCTTGCGCACAGATCATAACAGTCTTGTGTGGCTTATGCGATTTAAACACATAGAGGGACAACTTGTTAGATGGCTAGAAGAACTGGCACAGTACAACATGGAGATTGTCCATAGACCTGGCAAAAAGCATACAAATGCAGATGGAATGAGTCGATTGCAGGACAATATTGCAGAGTGTGACCGTTATAATGCAGGAGCAAACGTTGAAGATCTTCCTTGCGGTGGCTGCCATTATTGCCAGAGAGCACACTTACAATGGGGACGGTTCATTGAGGATGTAGATGACGTAGTGCCTCTGTCAAGTCGATCATCTTTGTCTCCAGGACCCGTGCTCAAAGTGAGGACAGTTATGCAACTAGATAAACAGCCTGGGCAAGGTGATTCCTCTGTGTGCAACTGGGCAGTTGGAAGTTCGCCATCTGAAGTACGATCAATGCAGGAAGAAGACAAAAATTTAAGTCCAATCATTAAGTGGCTTGAGAATGATATTGAGCCCAAGCAGTCAGAGCTCCGTTTACAGAGCCCAGGTACTCGGACACTGTGGATGAGTAGAAAGAATTTGCAGTTTATAGGCAGGGTTTTATATTACAGATGGGATGGAAAGGCAAACAGAAGTCTCTGCCTCCTTGTGCCACAAGGACTACAGCGTTCAGTTTTACATGGTTGTCATGATATAAAGACCTCTGGCCATTTAGGTCAACAGAAGACTCTCGAGCGTCTTAAGCAAAATTATATGTGGTACAACATGTCCAGGGACTGCATAGATTATGTTGCCTCCTGCCAAACTTGCAATCAAAATAAAAAACCTAATGTGAGGCCGAAGGCTTCCTTAGGTCAGTATCATGCAGGTTTTCCCATGGAGCGTGTTCATTTGGATATCCTGGGACCATTTCATACAAGTGAGGATGGTAATAACTATGTACTGATGATGATTGATCAGTTTACCAAGTGGGTGGAGATGGCAGCCCTCCCTGACCAGTGTGCCCTGTCTGTAGCACAGAAATTCTTGGTGCATTTTGTTGTCACATTTGGATGTCCCTTAGAAGTGCATACTGATCAAGGAAAGAATTTTGACAGCAATTTGTTTAAGGCCTTGTGTGAGACGCTACAAATAGCCAAGACGCGGACTACACCCTACCATCCCTCATCAAATGGGCAGATAGAACGATACAACACCACTGTTCTCCAGATGATAAGATGTTACATAGAGAAAAATAATAAAAACTGGGATAGAGATCTCCCTCTCCTAGCAATGGCCCTTCACTCCACTATTCATCGTCAGACAGGTTATACCCCAAACCGCCTTATGCTTGGTCGAGAGGTTATTCAACCTGTCCATTTGCTTACTGGAAATATCCCAGATGGTCTTGACACTCAGGAGCCAAGTGATTGGTGCACTGACCTTGCAGCTCGTATCTCCAAGGCCCACCATCATGCACGTCAAAATATACAAATGGCCCAACTTCGTCAGAAAAGGGACTATGACCTTAGATTGTGTGAGAATCACTATAGTCCCGGAGATATTGTGTATAAGTTGGACTCGACAACTAAAATTGGTCAATCATCCAAACTCAGACCTCCATGGACAGGGCCCTATCTGGTAGTCTCATGTGATGCGCCACTTTACACTCTCAGGGATCAGAAAAAAGAGCATGTGCTACATCATGATCGGTTAAAACTGTGCAAAGACCGAGATATTCCCATGTGGTTACGAAGGCTGCGTCACCAGTATTTTCAGGATAATACATCAAGCACTATTTCTACGGATCCAGATTTTAGTATGGTTCAGGAATTCAAGGGACAGGATCCAGACGAGGATCTCACTGAATCGATAGAAAGTCAGGACCACAATGGAGCTTCGGATGATAACGAGCCTCTTGTGCCACCCAAGGTCGCTGTACAAACAAGACATGGGAGGAATATTAATCCTCCACCCAAGTACAAAGACTTTGTGTAGAGTCATTATTTTGTACATAAGCTAGTGTATATATCTCTTTCTATATTTCTTTCTCTCAGTTTTCTTTCTGGAAAAGCCAGTGGTCCTTAAATTCATTGTAGGATATTGTTATTTGTATAAGCGATTATATTTGTAGACTGCAAGAATAATGGAGGAAGATTTGTGGGATGTAAATTTTGTCCCTGACTATGACCCTTCATCTGAGAGCCAGTCGGAGGAGTGGATAACTCTGGATGAGGTGATGTCTGACACTAGCATCCCAGGAGATACCAGTACACAGGATGTGAACAAAGAGGGGCAGTCACCTACAGCATCTTCCACAGAAGATACCAGGACAGTAGTGCTTGGGGCTTTATGCTCTGGTAGTACTGGTCCACGCGCCGGGAAGTACAGCTGCCCTATCTGTGGTACCAAGCTCAGCGGACATGTAAAACGACATGTATTGCGGACTCATTTGCCATGGTTTTGGGTTGGAACACTTGCTTGCTGGGAATGCCGCCAATTAGAGGGATCAACCCTTAGTCTGGCAGTCAAGCACACCCTTGCCCACAAAGGTCAACAGAGGTTGTTTGATGACGAGAACCTCCATGAGTGGTGCCAGCTCTTTAATGGGTCCCTTCACCTGTTAAGAGAGTGGCTCGGACTGGACAGTTTGGAGTGTTTGCGCCAGTTTGCATCGTCAAGCCTGTATGACAGTGTAGTGGGAGAATTCAATACACAGGAGACGCAGTTGATGTCTTTTTACTCTACCCATTACAGTGAACACCGTGTCGCCCAGTTTAAGCTTAAGCCATTGAACCATGTAGCATGTTTTCTGCATTGGCAGGCTGTTGGTACCCTACTGAAGGGCTTGAGTATGGAGCAGCAGGAAATGTTCAGGCAGCATCAACAGCGACTCTTGGAGAATGGCATGACCATTGATAGACCCTTTACTATTGCAGGGAACCCTGTCATGGCCAGGATTGTTGACAGTCATTTCCACCTTGACCAAATTCTGCGCCGGACCAACTTCAAGACCTGGTTTGAACTAGAGCAGCAGTTCGGTGGAAGGGTTCAGGTGCTACATGCCGTAGCTAACTATGTCTTTCCCCGTCAATGGGAATCTTGGCAGGAACACATATTGGATGCCAAAAACATATCAGTCTTCTTTGGTATCCACCCACATGCTGCTGACCTGGCAGAGCAGTACCTTGACAGGCTCATGGACTTAATAACACACCAGCGTTGTGTAGCCATTGGGGAGGTTGGCATTGATCTCACCACCAACTGCAGATGTAACCCCTGTGTGAGGCCAGAGGCATGTAGGGAGCGTTTGCTGCAGGCCCAACAGGACTTTTTAGCAGATGCCCTTAACTTGGCAAGAGATGTCGGTAAGCCTGTAATCCTACACTGCAGGGATGATGGATCCGGTGAGGCAGCCAAACGCACCTTGGACATGATCCGTATGATGGACATGACACATCATGCTTTCCATCGACATTGCTTCACAGGATCTGTTGAGGAGCTACGCCAGTGGGAGATGGAATTGCCTGCAGTGAAATTTGGCGTCACAATGAGATCAGCGCAGGACCCAAATCTGGTGGCCAGGATCCCAGTTGAGCGCTTGTTGTTGGAGACAGATGCTCCATATTTATTACCAGCTCCTGGATGCAAGATGAACCACCCCTGGAACCTAGCATCTCTCGCTGCACAAGTTGCTTCTATCCGCAACACACCAGTTTCGTTTATCCTGGAGACATGCAACAACAATGCCAGGCAGTTCTACAGATTATATTTTTTTTTTCTCATCATGTTCATCAGTTATATAGTGTATTTTCTATATATGTATATATTAATTACTTCAGAAAAAGTAATTTTTGTTATGCAAGTGTATAAATGCATTGTATATTTTTCATGGCTACTCTACATTTTTCTTACAACATATATATGTGAAGGGATTATGTCTCTCACCGGTATTTTGTTGAAAAGTAGTCATGATTGGATTGTATTTGCATGTATATTTTTTGTACTTTTGCACAAGTTGATATTTAGATGATTTTGTACAATATTGGGGGTGGATTTTTCAAATATAATTACTGATTGATTAAATTCGCCAATGGATACCCTTTGCTCTACAAGGAGGGGAGGAGTGTGGTACCACAGCCCGACTCATCCGTGTACGACCTATCTCAACTAACATTGATCTCCCTGACCTCCATCTTGCCAGACGTCTGCTAGACATAGCCTGTCTTATCGACCTAATCTGGAGGGATTTGTCAGGTAACTCGTCGACCATTACAACAATTTTAATACCAAGCATCCTTTGTTTGATTTACCTTCGAAATTTATTTGAATTTTTTAAGAATTACGCAATCCCCAGAAATAGCGATTTTCGGTATATTAAAAATCAATATACATGTACGCCCCTTCGTAAAATAATCAGATATTTGCATTCATGAAAAAATGTTAATAAGAAGGTGTTAAACAATATTGGTCACATTAGCTGACGTGAATGTCTTTTTAAACATCTCTTGTAAAAACAGAGAGTAGCCCCCTATGCATTGGAAAAAGTGAATAGTTCCGGTGTAAAGACGAATAATGACCCCCATCGAATAATGACCGGGGTCATTTTTCGACAGCGAAAAATGACCCCCGGTCATTATTCGACGTAGAAAAATGACCCCTTTGCCCGTAGAAAAAGTGTCACTTCACTAAAAATTTGCAGGACCCACGTGAAGAAAAATGACCCCCGTAGAAAAATGACCTCCTGTAGATTAAAGCTAAAATTTTTAGGGGGCAAAAAATAAATCTTTCCAAAACAATCTTTTGGAATTCCCATGGGTACAAATTGCGCTCCGTTATTAGCAGACTTATTTTTATATTCATATGAAGCAGAATATATGCAAAATCTTTTACGTGAAAAGAAGAAAACACTTGCTGTGGCCTTCAACTCGACATTTAGATATATCGACGACGTATTGTCAATTAATAATGATAATTTCCATTCCTACGATATATCCTGGTGAGCTTGAGATAAAAATTATCACAGAGTCCGACACTTCTGCTTCATACTTGGATATTTTACTTGAAAAAGACACTAATGGTAATCTAACATCCAAGCTATATGTTAAACGTGATGACTTTAACTTTTCTATTGTCAACTTCTTTACTTATGCAGCAATATACCTTCATCACCTGCAGACGGAGTATTTATATCTCAGTTGATTCGATATGCAAGAGTATGCTCTACGTATGAACAAACGAGGTAAATTATTGACAAGCAAGTTGATGAAACAAGAATATCAGCAGTCTCGTTTAAAGTCATCATTTCGTAAGTTCTATGGTCGATATAATGACCTTGTCAGTAAATACAATTTATCATTGAATGAAATGCTGACTGACGTTTTTATACCAATTGTTAGTCCATTATTTATACACTGAATTGACCACGGATTTTTTCCGTTATATCATGATTATGACAACGAGCACACGGCGGGTGTGACCGGTCGGCAGGGGATGCTCACTCCTCCATGGCACCTGATCCCACCTCTGATGTTTCGGAGGTCCGTGTTTGCTCTGCTCTTATTTTGTATATTTGTTTAATGGACGATGAGATTGAATACTGTTCGTTATTTCCATATCCTTCTTCTAAAAACAAGTGGAATATCATTCTTTATGCAAACATTATATGGAGGAATATTAAAAAGAAATTTTATTTACTTTACAATTAAAGAATATCTTTTCAAACACAATTATAGCATTAAATGACTACGTTAATCTCTAAATTAATATGAAAAAATAAGTTTCGCTGTAAAAAAGATATCAAAGACTGGGTCATTTTTCAATGGGGGTCATTATTTTATAGGACTAACATATAAAATAATGACCCCCTAGGACCCTTTTTCTACAAAAAATGATTTTTTTCTACAGGTGGGGGTCATTTTTTGCCGTTGAAAAATGACCCCCCGGTCATTATTCGATGGGGGTCATTATTCGTCTTTACACCGGTCAAAAACCTTTATATATTTATTTACAAAGTACTATTATATAAAATTTACCAGGCACAGGTTTCAGAGTTGTCAAAATGGCCTGAGCTGAAATATTAAAAAAAAATCTGAACAGAAAGGAAAATCCCTTTTCCATGTATGGAACTACTATTGAATAAGTTCATTTTGATTGGTTAGGTATTGGCGCAATACCCTTAGTCGACTTTAACCCTGCCTTTTTGTCGGAATAAAACCAACTTGAGCCCGAGGTTAACATAAGTAGAGAAATACAATGTGAATCGATATATTAAAAAAAATGACATAAGCTTGAAAAATTGGTAAATTTATATATGTGTTTTTTTTTCTTTGAGTCGTGGGATAGAAATATATGTTAGTTAATCGCTTAATGAACATGCCATAATCATCTTGCATATGCATGTACATGTACGTTTGCGCGCATGCATAACGTTAAACAATATATAGTTGATAGTTGATATCATTGTAACTTTTATATTCTTAAATGAAATCCTGGGATACTTAGCATATTTATGAAAGGTCTTGAAGGAATAAGGCACGATAAGGGACATGGGGAGCGTTTGGGGAACATATGTAACGGTCCCCGTTACAATTAGCACTAGTTATTATTATGTCGCCCCGAACGAAGTCGGGGACGACATATTGATATTGTACGCATGTTTTTTTTATCCAGGCTGTTTCTCAGAGATGGCTGGGGCAATCTTCCTGAAACTTTCCTCAAAGGACGATCACTGGTTGTAGATGTGCAGTGAGGTCGTTCAGTTCCAATATGTCTACCGTTGCTATGGAAACCTGTAAAAAGCGACGAATTTTGTCCGAGAGTGTTCTCTCTGGTCCCTTGAACGTTCGTCATGAAACTCTTTTTATTTTAATGATTAGTATCTGTAGTTGTGCGCCTTGCATTTAAAATTTTCAAATAATCGATTATTGCCATGGAAACCAGGGGAATGTTAAAAAATTCTTTAATTTCGATTTTCTCCATAACTACTCAAGCAATCGTTTTGAAACTTTCAATGTTAATTCCTTGCAATGTGTCAAAGTGATTTTTACTTTTAAAATAATTGTAATGAGTCGCTCACAGTTGTCATAGAAACGAAACAGAAAAAAAGGTTAAAATTTACACATGTGTTCTCCAAGGTCTAGGTCAAAGGGTCAAAGTTCTTCAAGTCCAGTAAAAGTTCTTTTCACAAAGATTACATATTTGAAATACGAAAGCCCTAGCCCTTACCGTTCAAACGTAAGGTACTATGTTCAAGACGACCCCCCCCCCTTTTGAAGCGCACTGACAGTTAGAATACACATATCTAACATATACAACTTACAAGTAACGTTTTAAAAGTTTCATTCATAAAATTCAGTTCTCCTGATGTGATTTCATAGTTTGCCAACCTTCATTCTTCTTCTGTCTTGTCTCTAGATTTTATAATTATTTTATTTTATCTATATATAAAATAACGATTGTCAACTGCATTTATTAGCATTTCGCATTTTTTGGTATATCTATTACTTGTATATTATTAATTTCATTAGATAGTGCAAGTATAAATTAGAAAATGGGTACGTTATTTCCACAGTTTTTATTCATTCATAAATCCTAGGATCCGCTCCTATAGGTGCGCTAAGCCTTGATCACTACTGTAAACAAAACATTCATCTCGCCGAAAATCTTCACGATCCCGCTAAACTGAGAAAGTTTACACATGATTTATCATATCATAAGAAATATCAGCCCTGTACAATTCAGAAATGCTCGAATTGAAGGTGGCATATCAGATTCGTTTTCCGGCAGAACCTCTTAAAATGAAAGTGAAATTTCAGAGTTCTCACTGGCGTTATAATACACAAAATAATTCGGCTGATCTTCTTAAAAAATTACATTTGCCAAGCTTTATTGGTAGGAAAGATACTGCCAATTAACAAGTATGAGGCTCAGTTCAGTACATCTGCCCAATTTCTTTTATGCAAGTCTGCAAATTTAGGAACTTGTAATTTTTTCCTGCACTACTTTCTTCTCCTACCGGTTCTAAAAATAAAATGGGATGTACCCAATTAAGGTCTTCCGTTTCCAACGGAAAGGACTGATACGACTCGATGGTTGTCCAGGCTTAGCTAATGGACCATTGTTTTAGTGATGATAAAAATGAAAGACTTGTCCAGTACGGGGCGACATATGCTATTGCTTGCAATAGCAGACTTTATAGTTATTATGTTCCCCAAACGGAGTTTGGGAACATATTGTTTTTACTCTGTTTCTTATTATTATGTTCCCCAAACGGAGTTTGGGAACATATTGTTTTTACTCGGTTTCTTATTATTATTATTATTTTTTTTCTTATTTGTTCTCCGGTACTTTTTTGTCCGCGAGTGTTCTCAGAAACTGTTCACACAACTGAGCTAAAACCTTTTTAGGGTTGATAGGTGTGTAGTGTAGGTGTGCGGAACGAAGGTCATTTTGCGCGCATACGCCTGCACGTGCTTGCGCGTGAAATGAGTGAATTGACCGATATACTTAATATAGGTATAACTTTGACATTTTCTTATGAAACGCTTTGAAACTCATTACATAAGGATATATTAAAAGTGTTAGTAATATGACACTGTCAAATTAGCATGAACTCACGCGCATGCACGTGCGCCTTCCTCTGATTGGCTGAAACAAAAATCTCAATATCTCTTTTGTTTTCCGACGAAATGCTTTGAAACTTTTAGCATTTTCATGAATTAGGATATCCTACAGTATATTATGGAAAAAATTCATGAAATCACGCACATGCACGTGCACTGCAATCTGATTGGCTGGAACTTTAAATAGCCATATCTCCTTTGATTTTTGACGAAATGTTTTGAAATTTAAAACATATTTAGGCATAAGGATATTCTACAAAATGATTTAGAAAAAAATTCTTGAAATCACGTGGATGCACGTGTGCTACAATCTGATTGGCTGAAACTTGAAATGGCTATAATTCCCTTGGTTTTCAACCAAACAGGATGGGATTTAGAACATAGATAGATATACGGGCTTCCTACAAGAAGGAGTAGTCATCATGCATGTGCACGTACGTGCGTGCATTTGGAACGAGTGAAATTGAAAACACACTTGAATGAGTGATTTTTCATACTCTTGGACTAAATGCTTTCATATAAAGTATTTTTTATTATATAGAAAGTGTAGACAAGATTATGCACGTGCATTCACATTGGCACGCTTGCAATGTTAAAATTTGAATATAATTGATATCCTTTTGGGAAAACGTT